CTAAAGACCTGTCTCTCCTTACAACATGTCCAAAGTATGTCAGACGAAGCCCCAGAATCCTTGCCTCCAAGGAGCAGTCTGGTTTAACCCTCTCTAGGATGAATCTGTTTTACGTATGTGTATATTCTTTAGATTATAAAAAAAATTACTAAATTGCACTATAAGGCAAGGATGGTGAAACTTGGCCTCACATACTTTGAGCATGTTATCAGGAGGCAAGGATGGTGAAACTTGGCCTCACATACTTTGAGCATGTTATCAGGAGGGGACTAGACTGTGGGTAAAGACATCATGCTGCGAAAGGGGAAGAGTTGGAGAAAGAAAGGAAGACCCTCAACATGATGCACTGACCCAGAGACTGTAACAACCAACAACCTTATCAGAGATGTTGATGATGGCACAGGATAGTACAAGGTTTACATCTGTCGCTTATGTAGGATTACTGTGAGTTGTGGTCTACTCAGTAACACTTAACAAAAACAGTTTATAGGCAGTCATACCTAAAATCCTTAAGTAGTAGTATAGCCAACATATCAAATAAATATAATTTTGTTCTCCAAACCTTACTTTTTCATATTGTGGTTACTGTTCTGTGTTGCTGAATTGATGCTGACTCATCGCAGCTCTATGGGACAGATGAGAATGGCCCCATTATTTTTATATTAAACATGGAAAAGTAAATATTAGAGTACTTTCTATAAAACATAATTTAATATCTTTCTGTAAATTTTTGGTTAACAGGTGTTCTGTTTTCGTTTTTGGCTTTTAACCATCCTTTCCTTGGTCCCATCAGACATATGTATTTGTATGTTCGAACTCAGCTGTCACTAGGTGGCAGTCTTTCTCTAGTAATATCTGCTCAGAGGGAGGTGGGGGCAGGGGAGCCACACTTGATTCAAGTCTAGCATTAGCTGTTGATATTAGGTTAACATGGGTAGGTCTGTTACGTTTTCAGAATTCAAGACTGGTTTATTTTTGTTTTAGCAGTTATGAAAAATGTTGGTGGATATATTGGTTAGCACTGAATAAGGCTAAGATTTGCTTAAATGCTGATAGGAAATGAATTGTTAGGTAGTGTTCAGTTTACAGTTGACTTTTCTAGTAGTATACAAATTGAAACAAAATATGCAAAAAATTCAGAAAGCATTTGGAGAATCATGGGTTTTCTGACGCTTCTTTATAGGATATAAATAAGTCTGTGAAGAATATATTAAAACCCCTTATTTTAAGTATGGAGAAGCTCTGGTTGTGTAGTCTGTAGCATCTTGTGCTGCTACCCAAAAGATTGCAAATTTCCAATGCTTTGAATCCACCAGCATCTCTGTAGGAGAAAAATTAGCAGTTGCCTCCCAGTTAGATTTACAGCCTTGGAAATGAAGGGTTGTTATGAGTTGGAATAGACTCAGTGGCTGTGAGTAATGTTAAGTGTACAATTGGGTCTTAATTATCACAGCAAAAGTTGTTTATACTTTTTATAGTTAGTTTTAATGAAAGTTTAAAAAAAATTTAGGGTTTCTCGTCATGCATTGTTACACTTTTCTCCCTACCCACCTCTTTCCCCCCACTTTACTCTTCTTAAAAAGAAAGAAAAAGTCTTGCGTTGTTTTGCAATCCCTCCCACCAGAAGTTGTTTATAATTTTCAGAAAGATTTGGCAGAAGTTACAGGTGCATATTGATCAGCTGGTTTTGTTGAGGGGAGAGATGTATTTATTTTATTTTTCTTCTATCATTTATGTGGTCAGGCCAGCAGTGTAGAGTGAAAGGGTGGACTTTCAAGTAGAAGAAGTAGTTAAGATTCTTAAACATAGTTATTTTGAGAATAATAGATTTTTTTGGGGAGTGGGGAGTGAGTTGTAATAGTATTAACTAACATTATTGAGTGTTTAATTTAGATTTGTAGCTGTATAGTTAAATTGAATCTATCAGCAAATCTGTATTTTTTTCTGTAGCATTTTTCATCTGCTTGAATATGATACAGTCATGGAGTAATTGGAGAGATGAGATTTCTCCACCAGCTTAGGGATCTCTGGTTCACTCTTTAGCTAATGTGCTTCTAACAAAATATACTTATCTACTCTAGTTATACCAATCCACCAGGTGCTCCATGGGAGAAGGTTCGACAGTCTTCTCTCGTGTGTTTTAAACCATTGGAAACTTGATGGAGGGTCAGCTTTGAGTTGGATTGACTTGCTGTAGAGAGATAGACATTAGTTTTTTTGCAAAATAAAGATATAAGGAAGTTTCCATTTAGTCCTTTAATTTTATGAGAAGAATTCTATAACGCATACTTTTAAACATTCAGGTATTTTTAATGATTGGGAAAGAAGAGTTTTTGGTTTTCTTAAGAATACACATTTAGCATTGGGATAATATACAGTTGATTTACGTTGTGGATTGTATGTCTTAAATATATAGTTTCTAAATTGTTTTTTGTATGGATTTGTAAGTCTGTTTTTTTCCTCATAGAATTAAATCTTTTGTAATGTTCCTGCCATTTTCTTTTTAAAAGGTCTGTTTATGATGGTGAGGAACATGGACGATTCATGGAAAAGCTTGAAACTCGCATCCGCAACCATGACCGAGAAATTGAGAAAATGTGCAACTTTCATTACCAGGGCTTTGTGGACTCCATAACTGAACTACTGAAAGTGAGAGGAGAAGCCCAGAAACTCAAAGTAAGGAGACTCGGAGAGGATTATTCCACTGGCCTGGGCTTGTGTTTTGACTAGCATACACTGCAGTTTACATGTTAATCATAAATGCTTTTTTTGCATGATTATTATGTTGTTTTGTACTGTTGAGTCAGGATTGATGCATATCTTATCCTCCAGCTGGTTCTCAGTGGCAGTAAATTGCAGGGGAGGAGATTGTCCATCTTTATCTCACAGGGCTGCTGGTGGATTTGAACCTTATGCCTTTGGAATGGCAGCACAGCTACTTCCCACTAGGCCACCTATTTGTACTGAAACAAGCACTTGTAATTATAGCTCTTCAGCTAAAAAGAATACTCATTTAAGAGAAAAACATGAGAGAACCACACATGAATGGGAACCAGTGATCAGCCTCGGTTTCCATTGAACAGAAACTCGGTACTTCTTCCTTTCTGGATAAAAGCCGTTACTGAGATGCCAAGATGCCCCTGGTGTAGTACTATCTACCATATCAGGCTGTTGCTAACGGGAAGGCCAGGAGTTCAAATCCATAAGCTATTACACAGGAGAGAGGCACTCTCCTCCTATGAAGATTTAGTCTCAGAAACAATGATGACTTTTTCTCAGTGTGACTGACAGATTGATTCAGGGAGGAGGCTAGCCACATTTGTCTGATTCCTAGAGTAGCAGATGCACTAAACTTGGAAAACTGATTTTGCTTATTGATCTCAAATTTAGCCACTTGGCTAAGTTCTTCTATTATTTCAGCTTTCTGTGTAAGCACTCATATATTATGTAAGAGTGATTTTATTTCCTTCTTTCCAGTCCTTCTAATTTCTGTTTTGACTGTGACTGGAATTTTAATTAAAATCCTGAAAGGATTTTCCTGAGTATGGGATGAACTTGACAATGAATCTAGAACTATAAGAATACATTGCTAATAAAAGCAAATAAACATTTATTGAAGTGAGTAGTGGGCTACCAGATGTTCAATTATATTCTAAACCTACATGAATAAAAAACCTCATTTGATTGTGAAACTTGACCTGAAGGGACATGAAGCCATAGGTTTTTAAATTAATTTTACTTAATGTGTAGTTTTGTGGTTTGCTACAGAAATATTAATGTTCTTGATTATGGGGTGCTGTCTCAGATCCAATGAGTGGTGTAATATGATATATAATATGTACCTTATTATTTTTTAAAAAAGACTCAGAATTCTGAGATCCAAAACACAAGGTTTCAAATAAGGATTTAAACAAATACCTATAAACAAATACCCAGCCATCTTAACAACTATAATATCGAACAGTTAAATCTCTTTCTCCTGTAGAGAGCTCTGGTAGTGTAGTCCATAGAGAGTTGCACTGTTAACCTGAAGGCCATGCCTCACTGCTTGAAATCTTCCAGGAGCTCTGTGGGAGGAAGATAGCCTGTCTCCTCTTGTGTGATTTACAGCCTATGAAAATCCACTGGACAATCATCTGTGAGTTGATTCCAACTTGACAGCAGTGAGATTTTTTTGTTTTTCTTGTTTGTCTTCAGGGAGCTCTGGTGGCTTAGTGAGTGAGGAGTTGTGCTGCCAACTCAAAGGCAGGAAGTTCGAATCCACCAGTAGCTCTGTGGGAGAAAGATGGGCAGTCTCCTTCCTTGTGAAACCCCAGCAGAAGGCCCGTTATAAATTGTTCCTACTCAACGACAATGAGTTCGAGTTTGTTTTTTGTCCTCTACTTATGTGCTTCCTATACCTTCTCCTTTCGGGATAACAACTATTTTGGTTTATTGTTAATATTCTTTAGTACTTAACTCTTAATTTAAATTGAGGTTGATTTGTTCTTTATTGAAAATTAATTTCAAATATGCTAGTAATTCCACGTTGAAACAATAAAGGAAATAGTAAGAAAAATTTAAATAACTAGTCACATAATTTTGGAAGTGGAGAATACGTTATCTAACCCTTCCAAAGCCAGAATGGAAAAAAAAATTTGAAAGAACATTAACCTGAAAGTAATTTTTCTATGTTGTTGTTATGTACTGTTGACTCACTCGCCTGCAACTCATAGTGACCCCATGTACAACAGCCCTAAACCCTGTCTCTGAGACACCTAGCCCCATTACCCCAGTCACTGAATCAGTCCATTTCATTGAGGATCTTCCTGTCCTGCACTGTCTCTCTACCCTCCCAAGCATGACATCCCTCTCCAAGGACTGATCCTGCCTTGCAACATGTCCAACATGTGAACAATTAAAAAGTAAATAAGTCTAGAAAAAGATTTACAAGTATTTATGACAAATGGTAAGGAATTCCTTTAATGTAGTGCATAAACTATCTAACTCCCAGTGCAGTGGTCAGCATTTCATATTTGCCAGCTGCCCCCAAGACATAATCTTTCTCCCTGACAGCAGACTTTCCCAATGCTATACGTCTCCCAGTCTCTTGACTGCTGGCACTGAGGATATTGGCTCTGGTCCAAGCAAGATCAAATAATTGACAGTTTTAATTTTTTCTTAATTTGCCTTGTTGTTGCCTGTTGGCCCAGGGGTGAGAACGTTTGCTTTCTTTATGTTGAGATGTAATTCATATTGAAGGCCATAGTCTCTGATCCTTTGCAGCAAGCTCTTTAGGTCCTCTTCAGTTTCAGCAAGCAGTGTTGCCTTATCTGCATAATGCAGGTTGTTGATGAACCATTGTCTAATCCTGATGACACACTGCTCTTCATAAATCCAGCTTCTCTAATGATTTGCTCAGCATACACATTGAATAGATACAGAGAGGATAATATAATCCTGACACATACTTTTCCTCATTTTAAACCATGAAGTGTTCCTTGTTCTGTTTTCACAACAGTCTCTGGGTCTAGGTATAGATTTTGTATAAGCATGGTCAAATGTTTCTAGCATTCCCATTAGTTTCAAGATTAGCTGTAGTTTATGATCCACACAGTCAAATGCCTTTACATAGTCAATAAAACACAGACATTTTTCTGGTATTCTTTGCTTTTAACTAAGATCCATCTGACGTCAGCAATGATACTCTTGTTACCATGACCTCTTCTAAACCCAGTTTGAACTTCTGGACATCTCTATGTACTATGTTAACTGTTTTGGGATGATTTTCAACAATAATTTGTTTGCATGTCATCTTAATGATATTGTTTGATAATTTCCACATCCAGAGCTTCCTAGTAGAGATAAAAGGGGAGAAAAGTGACCTGGGTAGGAGTAGAACCTTTAGTGCTATCAGAAAAAAAAAATCACTAGGAGGGATGTGTCTTTTGAGGGAGTTCTGGTGATCTAGTGGGTAAGGAGTTGCATTGCCAACCCCAAAACAGATAGTTTTAATCCATCAGCTTCTTTGAAGAAGGAGGATAGGCAGTTTCCTCCCATGTGATTTAGTCACGTATGAGTCATTTCCAACTTGACGGCACATAATAAACAAAACTCAAAATGAAGAGGCACAGAACCTAATAAGAAGAGTGGACCCCAAGTACTGTGCATGCTCAGAAGCATGAATGGAGAGCAATTTCCATGACGTCATAGAGGAGGCCGTAGTTGGGTTCCTGTCAGTGAGTGCGTTCCACGCTGTTTCTCTGTCCTGACACACACAAAGTGTTCATAGAATGCAGGCACAGGACCCTAAACTGGAGGATATTTTAGGGTCCCACGGGGCTTATTAAAAAAATGATACTTTCTTATGGTTTTTAAGATAAATATAATTTATTAGACTGTAATAGGAATGTGTTCTATTTTCCCAGTGTTTTCTTTTTTATAGTATTTTTTTATTGTGATTTTAACGAAAGTTTACAGAAAACTTGGATTTCCATTCATTCATTGTTGCACTTTTTCATTTCTACCCCTCCCCCCACCCTGTTTGCATTTCTTTTTAAAAAATTCATTCATTGTTTCACAGTTTCCTCCCTCCTCACCACCCCAGTTACTTTCCTATGCACCTCTTATTCTGGTGCTTATTCTGGACTCTAATGCAAATCATACCTTATTATATATTCCCTTTAAACAGTTCTTTCCCTCATTTGTTTCAATGTAGTGTTCATTATTTATCCTTTCTTTTCTTTGTTTCCCCCCAACCCCGTGTCATTTCTGTTTTATAGCTATGGCATTATTCAGTATTTGTCTTTTTGTGATTAAGATATTTCACTCAGCGTAATGTTCTCTAGGGTTACCTATGTTGTATAACATTTTGTGAGTTTTTTTCAATGCTGTGTAGTATTCCATTGTGTGAATATACTATAGCTTCTCTATCCATTCATTTGTTGATGGGCATTTGGGTTGTTCCCATCTCTTTACTATTGTGAACAACACAGCAGTAAACATGTTTGTTGTTATATACCATCGAGTCACCTGTGATTCATAGCGGCCCTGTGTACCCTGTGCCCTAAACCCTGCTCTCTCCTGTGCTAATCTTACTGACTCTGACACACCTACCCCCATTACCCATCTCATTGAGGGTCTTCCTCTCTTGCGCTGTCCCTCTATCTTCCCAAGGATGATGTCCCTCTCCAAGGACTAGTCCCTTCTTGCAACATGCTCAAAGTATTGTCGGATGGATCTTCAGAACCCTTGCCACACATCCTTGCCTCCGAGGAGCAACCTGGCTTCACCATCTCCAGGACAAACCTGTTTTTTCTCCTAGCAGTCCATGATATATTCAACACTGTTCTCCAGCACCACAGCTCAAAGGCATCAATTCTCCCTTCTATCATCCCTAGTCATTGATGCTTGGAAGACTGTTCATATTTTCATACAATAGATTAGGGCCTCTAGAGTTCTTCCAAGCTTTTCTCTAATGAAGTTTATAATCTTTGTTTTTGCTTCTAGATCCTTGATCCACCTTGAATTGGTTTTTGTGTATGGTATGAGGTGTGGGTCTTGCTTGAGTTTTCTACAGATGGTTTTCCAATTTTGTCAACACTTTTTGTTAAAATATCCGACATTTTCCCATTTGACTGATTGTGTTTCCTTGTCAAAAATCTGTTGATCAAAGGTACATTAGTTGATTTCTGAGTTCTCAGTTCTATTGCCTTGATCTTTGTGTCTGTCACTTTACCAGTACCACACTGTTGTGACCATCACAGCTGTGTATTAGGATTTGAGATCAGAGAATGTGATACCTCCTACCTTGTTTCTCTCTTTCAGGAGTGCTTTACTTATTTGGGGTCTTCTTTCATTACAAATAAAATTGGAAATTGCCTTTTCCATCTCATTACAGAATGAAATTGGTATCAGTGTTGAGATTGGATTGAACTTAGAGATTGCCTTTCGTAGAATTGTTGTTTTTTTTTTTTTGTATTGAGTCTTTCATTCCATGAACATGGTATATTCTTCCTTTCTCCAAGTCTATTTTTGTTTGTTGTCATGTTATTTTGTATTTTCTTTGTATAATTTTGTTTCTCTAGTTACATTTACTCCCAAGTGTTTAACTTGTGATTAGCGATTGAGATGAATATTGTTTTTCTTAGCTCCATTTCTGTATTCTCTCTCTTTTTTTTCTATTGTAGAGAAATCCAGTGTATTTTTGTATGTTGATCTTGTATACTGCTATTTTGCTAAATTGGTAAACTATGTCTAGTAGTTTTCTGGTCTTTGGGGTTTTCTAAGTATATTATCATATCATCTGCAGATAGAAATAATTTTACCTCCTCTTTACCAATTTGGATATCTTGTCTTACTGCTCTTGCTAAGATTTCTGATACAATGTGTGATAATGGACATCCTTGCCTAGTTTCTGTTCTCAAAGGGAATGCCTTTACTCTCTCTCCACTGAGAATCATTTTGGCTCTTGGTTTTTCACTATGCTGAGGAAATTATATTTCTATTTTGTTGAGTGTTTTAATCAGGAAAGGGTATTGGATTTTGTCAAAGCCCTTTTCTGCATCAATTGATAGGATCATGTGGTTCTTGTTCTTTGCTTTGTTAAAGTGATTAATTACATTGATTGCAAGGATGGGTCAACATAAGAAAATCATGCTTGTTAACATAAGAAAATCATGGTTGTTATCCCACTTGGTCATGGTGAATTATTATTCTGATGTACTGTTGGATTCTGTTGGCTAAGATTTTATTGGCAATTTTTTCATTTATGTTCATGAGAGATAGTAGTCTGTAGTTTTCTGTTTTGTTGGTGCCTTTACCTGACTTTGGTATCAAGGATATGTTTTGCTTTGTAGAATGATTCTGGAAGGATCCCATGTTTTGGGATTTGGTGACAGTTCTTCTCTGAATATTTGATAAAGTTCACTATTGAACCTGGTCCAGGGAATTTTTTGTTGTTGTTTTTGTTGTAAGTTGTTTTTCTACCTGTTTAATTTCTTCTTTTGTAATGGGTTTGTTCAGGTGTTCTACTTTGGTCTGTGTCAGTTTGAGTAGGTTCTGAGTTTCTAAGTATTTGTCTGTTTTCCTCTAGGTTTTCATTTCCTCTAGGTTTTCATTCTTGTTTTAGAATAGTTTTTAATAATACTCCGTTGTTGTTGTTGATTGCTGTTGTGTTGAGCCATTATTAACCTTTTTATTTTAGTTGGTTCTGTTGTGACATTGTGCCTTTCATCTCTTATTTTTTTTCTTGCTAGTTCTTTGTTTTGCTAGAGGTTTGCCAACTTTATTCATCTTTTTGAAGAACCAACTCTTGGTCTTGTTCATAGTTTCAGTTATTTTTCTACCTTCTACTTCCTATATTTCTGTCCTAATTTTTCTAATTTAATTTCTTACCATAATTAATTTAATCAGGGTGCAAATAGCATTTGATTAACACGTTTCTAGATCTTTCTAATCTACCTGCTTCCTAAGAAAGAAAGATTTTGACTGTATCTTCCTGTAGCTTTCTTATTTTGAATTTTAAATATATATTTTAAAAATATGTGAAGAACAGCAATTATTAGTGAAAGAATTGTTGTTGTTAGGCACTGTCAAGGCGAGTATGACTCAAAGAGACCCTATGAACAACAGATCTGAACCCTGTCCTATCCTGGTGAGGTCCATATGTAAAGTTGCTGTTTGTGTTTTTTCTTAAAGGTATTTGCAATGAGTAAATCATTGAGAGTACAAAATTCGATCATTCTATTTCTGGCTCACTTCTGTCACCAAATCCATAGCTTCTGACTACTACTCCTTCTTCATTGTTTCCACCTTTTGCTTTCTAATCACCCATTATCATTAACACATTTTAATTTCATGTTTGATTAGTTTTGGAGTGCATAATTTTATAAAAAAGGTTGTTGTTATGTGCCATCGAGTCGCTTGCAACTCATAGCGACCCTATGTACAAGAGCTCTCAATGCTGTTCTATCCTGTGCCAACCTAGCCATCTCAAATGCACTTATTCCCACCGCTCCAGTCACAGAATCGATCCATCTCACCAAAGGTCTTCCTCTCCTTCGCCACCACTCCACTCTGCCAAACATGATGTCCCTCTCCAAGGACCAGTCCCTCCTTGCAACATGCCCAAAGTATGTCAGACAAAGCTTCAGAATCCTTGACTCCAGGGAACACTCTGGCTTCACCCTCTCCAAGACAAACCTGTTTGTTCTTCTAGTAGTCCATGGTATATTCAACACTCTTCTCCAGCACCACAGCTCAAAGGCATCAATCCTCTTTCTATCAACCCTGTTCACTGTCCAACTCTCTGATGCATAGCACATAATTGCGAAGACTATAGCCCGGATCAGGTGCATCTGAGTCTCCAGCCTGACATTGTTGCTCTTCAGTACTCGTACTCTTGAGAGGTCCCTCACAGCCGACTTTCCCAATGCAGTTCGTCTCCTGATTTCCTGGCTGCTGTTACCAAGTAAATTAAAACTGTTAACTGTCTCAATCTCTTCACCCTCCATGCTGATGCTGCCAATTGGCCCAGTGGTTAGAATCTTTGTTTTCTTGACGTTTAGCTTCAGTCCATATAGGAGGCTGTAGTCTGCCTCGGGTCCTCCTCAATTTCAGCAAGTAGGGTTGTGTCATCTGCATAACACAGGTTGTTGATGATTCTTCCACCAATCCTGATGCCACATTCCTCCTCATATGAAAAAGGTAGAAAGTGTTTATTAAAGAAAATTTTAGAATCTAATGCTGCTCAGTGATGGTGAGGAAATGACTATTTCATGTATTAACTTTTTTATATCCACTGAGACTTAAGAGTAGATGCTTTCAAATTCTTTGAAATTATGAATTCTAGATAATTGAAATGCTTTTCTACATATTTTTCTTTTTTTTTTTTAAACTGTATTTTTATTATTTGTGCATGTGTGTGTTCCTCCTTCTCCAGCAAAGCATCTGGTGGATTTGAGCTGCTCACCTCTGGGATTGCAGTGCAGCTTCTTGCCACTAGGCCAGAGCTCGCTACATATTTTTCTTAATAGATTAATTTGATAAAATAGAAATGCAGGGGCTATTAAGAATTAGGGATCTTAAAATAATGAAAAGGAAATATTTTTAAAATTGGACTATAAACAAATGACTTGAGTTATAAGTTACAACTTTAATTAATACTGAACGTTGTTAGAAATATATTGGTGATGTGAGGTTTATTTACAATAAAAATTTGTTCTTTTTTAAAAACTGTTTTTAAAAGATATTTATTAAATATTCCATGTATTTACATATTATTAAGCAAAATTAAATCACATGGTCACCCTTATCTACCAGAAAGATTGTAGCTATACACTCACAGCTCACATAAGTGGCAATCATTAAATTATTAATGAGGCAACAAGAATGATACCATGGCAGCAACAAGGAGCTTAACACAAAAATAGATGGTGAGATAGTATAGGATTGGCCAGGGTTTACTTCTGTTCTGTATACATGAGGTCATAAGAGTCATAGCTAACTCAGCTGAACTTAATAACAAGAAGTCTTCCCAACAATATTGAACACTTACCTGTGGCTTAATTTATATACATTTTCCTTTATTTTATATTAAAAGAACTGGTTGTGGTGAAAAAAATTTGTTCTTTTTATGTATAAAAGGAATATATGATTAAGTATTATTGGTATGACAAGAGTCCAGAATAAGAGCTACATAGCAAAGTGGTCTGGGGGACAACGACGACTGTGTAACAGTGAAAGAACTTTTTTCCCAAAGAAAAAAGTGAATTGGGGCGGGGGCAGGGGCGGGGGCAGGGAGAAAAATGGACAACAGTGAATGAATGGAAATCCAAATTCTTTATAAACTTACAATGAAATCTCAATTAAAAATAATTTGTTCTTTTTAGATTTTATAGAGATGATGAGTTCTTCTGTTATATTTTTGTTTTAATTTCTTTCTGAAGTTAAAGTGCAATTTTCATTCTATATAGTATGTTAGTTTGCAGTGTTGCAAACAGAATATATATTGTAGTAAAATTTTATTCGTGTTCAAATTTCTAGTAGAAAAATGGTTATAGTTTAAACCTGAGAGGATACTACTAGACAGATACGTGATGTAATACTGAAATTCAATCTAGAGATTACAATTTAATCTAATCTTAACGTATCTATCATTCTTTTCATATTAAATCATGTTACTCACCTGTTGCCTAAATTTTTGTTGCTTATGAATTTTAATTGTCTTCTCTTCACAGAATCAAGTGACGGATACAAATAGAAAACTACAGCATGAGGGGAAGGAAGTAAGGCCACTTTACTTTTTGAAAATAATTTGTTTCATATCATTCTATTTTGATAATTATGGATTTTTCAACTTATTTAGTGGTTTGTGAGACTGTATAAGCAGGAATTTGGAAATTATTGCTGCTGCTTTTCAGAATGCATGTCTGAATTAAATGAATATAGAAGCTAGAAATCATATTGGGAGGCTCCATCCTTCCTAACCTGTATTTGTATATGTTTGAATAGTTTTAAGAGGCCAAGGTTGTCTCATTGGACAGGGACGTTCTACCTATAGTATTCATGTATTTCTGCTCTTTGCTCATATGCTACCTTCTTAAGGAAACCTTTCAAGAACACTTCATTGCAGTCTCATTCATGTCCCCCTTTTTTAACCTTTTCCTGTTTTACATATCATGCTCTGCTAATATGTAATTTTAATTATATATTTATTTTTCTCTACCTCTTTGTATTTCTCTTTACAAAGCCCATGAGGTCAGAAATTTGGTTCATAACATTGATTGCTTGATCCTCTCTACGTACCTAGAAAGTAACTGGCACAAAGTAGTTCTCAGTAAACACTTGTTCTTGTAACAATAATAGAATAATTGATTCCATTTACCCTTTCAGTTTATGAAATTCTTGTACATCCATTTTCTCACTTGATTCCCTTGGCCTACCTACCAGAAAGGCGGGGCGGATCTTATTGTCTAATTGACTAGGAAACTAAAAATGATGGTTTTCTGAGGTTTACATAAATTAGTAACTTGCAAAGCTGGGACTAATGTTCATGTTTTCTGTTCTCTATATCATATATTTTATTTAGCCCTTAGTAGTTATTTTTTATTAATGTAAATAACTGTTATGATTAGTTTTTAAAAATTTTTAATTTTCATTTTAATTTTATTATTTGTGTGTGTGTGTGCGCGCGCGCACATGCGCGCGCACCTTCTAATCAGATCTGACTGGTACAGGAGGAGATGGCCCCTCCATTCTCCAGCAGAGCATCTGGTGGACTTGAACCACACACTTCTGGGATTGCAGTGCAGCTTCTTGCTACTAGGCCACCAGAGCTCCCTCTTTATGATTAGTTTTTAATTGTTTGACCAGGAACTTAATCAGGGCCATTTTTCTTTCTCTCTTTTCATGATATCTATGCAGCTAACGCTCTTAGGTGTGAGTGTGGAATGAATTTGGCCAGAGACTGTAGATTATTGCCTTTTAAAAGTTTGTCTCACATATTCTAAATCATGCATGAAGTACAGTTATATTGTAGGATGACTTCAAGTAGAAGTCTGTAAATCAGAAAGGAATGTGAGTTACTTTTTACTAAATTAGAGCTCTTAGAAAAGCCACAATTTCTAAGTATGTGGTTTTCAGTTGAAATAGTTGGGAACCATACAGGGGGGTATGTTTTCCTCTAGGAAACTCCCACTTAGGGAAAGAGATAAGGGGTCTCTGGATAACTCCTGAAGAGTGTAAATAGAATCTGGCGAAAACTTACAAATCCTTTGCCTTGGTCTTGGATAGCCTCAGTATTTTAGGATTTCATTTTGTTTAGCCTTTCTTAGTATGATATGTATCTTAGGGAGAAAGGGGGGCAACTGTAGAAATGTTTTATTGGTTGGGAAAGTTGTTCCTTAGTGTACTTGGCAGGTCTTACCATGACATTGCCTGGCATTTTTCTGATGTATTGAACATAGAATGGAAGGGTGTGACTGAAAGTTTTTTATTTACAGCTATTGGCATAATTCACTGTTTTGTTTTTTCTTTCTTTCTCTTGCCAAGCTGGTAACAGCAATGGAAGAGCTGAAGCAGTGTCGACTACAACAAAGAAATATTTCTGCTACTGTTGATAAATTAATGCTGTGTCTTCCAGGTGAGGAACTAGAATTGGAGTAGGAATTTTGATGCAATTCCTGTAGCTTTAATTAGTTTTTCACTTTCTTTAATTAATGTTGGTGTGGTCTCCCCCCACCCCCTTCTCTTTCAAGTCCTGGAAATGTACAGCAAACTGAGGGACCAGATGAAAACAAAAAGGTAAGATTCTTTTATCAACTAGTTTTTATTGTCTAAAATTTTCATTACTTAGAATATCTTAGAGTCTTTATTTAGTATAACCTTTCAAAATGGAAATAAATCTTTTTTGTTATTTTGTGTATTTATCTGTTCATCCTATATTCATGCATACTAGTGGTGTGCTGATAGTTTGTCATGTATTGTGCCTAGCTCAGTGTTTGGTTTGTAGAAGATTCAGTCTTTTAAGGGTAAAGCAAGTATCTATTTTAGTGGTAGTTTTGAGAAACATGGTTTTGTTTACTATTAGAACGTATTGCTGCTGGTTCTAGAACAAGGTAACATGAACAGTAAATTCAGAGCACTCCTCTCTTGTATGTTACCTGCTCATACTGTGGGAACAACTGTACAGTTACTCTAACTTTCCTTTCCAAAATTTCCAAAGGTAAGAAGTAAGCATCCCTACCTTCTCTGCCACGAAATTCCTTGAAGTGGGCTGGAATATATGAAGCAACAGGATAAACATGCCACATCTTCTCGAAATGTTATTTTTATATAGGTTCTAATAGGAAAAAATAATGAACTTAGTGTATTTAATATTGAAATAAGAACAAAAATATCATGGATAAAAATTCTGAATTCTCAATAATTTTAGATACATGAGATATCAACATTTTTTCTTTTTAAAACTTTCTTGGGATTATTTCCCAGGTTCAAGTCCTCAGAAGGACTTGTTAATGTAAAAGATTATTTGAGCACTTCTTTTCAAGGACATAGGATAGTGGTATTAGTTCCCTAATAAACTTTTTATGAAGTTATGAAATGACAAAAGTTACAAAGAATAAAAAATGTGTAATAAACTGAATTAACAGCTGTTAGCACTTTTCTAGTTTTGGCTCATAAATACTTGCTTGGTTCTGTTAATTTCTCTGAGGAAAGCATAAATTTGGTGAGTGTCCTTCAAGTCTGTACTGGTAACTATGCAATATATAGTGCTTTTACCATATGTTTTAAAAACACACAGATAGTTTTCAGGCCTTTAAAAAAATTCATTCACTCATTGAAAGTGAAAGATGTGCTGAGTATTGCTTTTGGTGTGAGAGAGGCGAATGTGAATGAAAAAGGACAAAACGTATGTGCCATTAAGGAACTTGCTGGTTTAGTTGAGATGTGTCTATATTATCCTATCACGAATGGACAGCTATGGATCTCAGGACAGTCTTGGAAACTTTAGTTCTTATGATGTATGCAGTATAATTTCTCTTTGAAGTTAACTTAACAGTTAGATAGGCACATTATCAAGAACCGATATTAAAGGAAGAAGTTCAACCTGGACTGAAGGCTTTGGTATAAAATAAGGCTCCAGAACTTAGAGGATAACAATTGAAATGTTTTAACAAACAGATGTGGTTCTGGACATGCTTATTAGTCTGAGCCAAGAAATTTGGAAGATAGCCCCTATCTGGCCAAGTGACTTATGCTCATTCCAAAGATAATCCAATGGAATGTGAAAATTACAGAGCAATAGTATTAGTATTACAAGCAAGTAAAATTTTGTTCAAGATAATGAAAAAGTGATTATAGCTATACATCAACAGGGAACTGTCAGAAATTCAAGGTGAAGTAGAACAGGTGTGGATATTTGATGTCATATAGATTTTGGCTGAAAGCAGAGGAAAACCAGAAAGATGTTTATTTAACATTTTATTAACTGTGTAAAGTCTTTGAACTGCATGGATCATTGTGAAAATGTGCTTAGATAAAACTGTATATAGACCAAGAGACAGTAGTTCCAGTACTGAGAAATACTACATAGGTTAAAATTGTTGTTGTTGTTGTTGTTATGTGCTGTCGAGCCACTTGCGACTCATAGCAACCCTATGTACAACAGCCCTAAACCGTGCTCTATCCTGTGCCAATCTCATTGCCCCCGACACACCCATCCCGAGTACCCCAGTCACTGAATCAATCCACCCTCCTGCGCTGTCCCTCTACTCTACCCAGCATGATGTCCTTCTCCAAAGACCTGTCTCTCCTTACAACATGTCCAAAGTATGTCAGGCGAAGCCCCAGAATCCTTGCCTCCAAGGAGCAGCCTGGTTTAATCCTCTCTACGATGAATCTGTTTGTTTTCTTGGCAGTCCATGGTACATTCAATACTCTTCTCCAGCACCACAGCTCAAAGGTGTCAATTCTCCTTCTATCCTCCCTAGTCATTGTCCAACTCTCTGATGCATAACAAGTGACTGCAAAAACCATAGCCTGTATCTGGCAGACCTTAGTCTCCAGAGAGACACTGTTGCTCTTGAGTATTTTGGAGAGGTCCCTAATCGCAGACTTTCCCATCGCAATACGTTTTTTGATTTTCTGGCTACTGGTGCCAAGAGTGTTGACCGTGGAGCCGAGCAAACTGAAGCTATAAACAATCTCAATCTCTTCGCCATCCATCCTGATGCTACCGATTGGTCCAGTGGTGAGAATTTTTGTCTTCTTGACATTGAGCCTCAGTCCATATTGAAGGCTGCAGTCCTCGACTCTCTGCAGCAAGTGCATGAGGTCCTCCTCAGTTTCAGCGAGCAAGGTTGTGTCATCTGCATAACGCAGATTGTTGATAGATCGTCCACCAATCCTAACGCCACGCCTCTCCTCATAGAGCCCCGCCTCTTGGACAATTAATGCTCTGCGTACAGGTTGAAAAGGTATGGAGATAGGACACATCCCTGGCATACACCCTTCCCAATTTTGAACCATGCAGTGTTGCCCTGTTCTGTTCTGATGATTGACTCTTGGTCCAAGTATAGGTTTCACATTAGCACGATTAAATGTTCTGGGATTCCCATTCTTCTCAGAGTCAGCCACAGTTTGTTATGATCCACGCAGTCAAATGCCTTTGCATAATCAATGAAACACAGATAGACATTCTTCTGGTATTCTCTTTCAGCTAAGATCCATCTAACATCAGCTACAATATCCCTAGTACCACGACCCCTTCTAAACCCAGCCTGGACTTCCGGCAGTTCTCTGCTGATGTACTGTTCCAGTCGTTTTTGGATTATCTTCAGTAGAATCTTGCTTGCATGTGAAATCAGTGATATTGTTCTGTAGTTTCCACACTCAGCTGGGTCGCCCTTCTTTGGGATGGGAACAAATATTGACCTCTTCCAGTCAGTTGGCCAAGTGGTTGTTCTCCAGATTTCTTGGCACAACTTGGTGAGCATGTCCAGGGCAGCATCTGTTAGCTGAAATATTTCAATTGGTATACCATCTATTCCGGGGGCCTTATTTTTTGCTATTTCCTTCAAAGCAGCTTGAACTTCTGCCTTCATCACCATAGGCTCTGGCTCAATTGCTATTTCATTAAATTCTTCTGTATCTGCCAATTCATTTCAGTACAATGACTCAGTATATTCCTTCCATCTTCTTTTGATACCTCCTGGATCATTTAACATTCTGCCTAAAGCATCCTTGATTGTAGCAACTCGAGGTTTGAATTTGCTCTTCAGTTCCTTGAGCTTAAGAAATGCTGAACGAGGATTTTATTCTGTACATAGGGTCGCTATGAGTCGCAAGTGACTCGACGGCACATAACAACAACAACAACATGATGTTTTATTCAGTTTTCATTTTGAACAAATCTGAGAGCTCTCGTGGCCTAGTGGTTAGGAGTTGTGCTGCCAACCCAAAGGCAAGAGGTTCATATCCACCAGCTGGTCTGTGGGAGGAAGATGGATCCACTGGTGCAATTTACGGCATCTGAAAACCCGTAAGAGGGTCAGTTGTGAGTTGGTTCTGACCTGATGGTCCATAACAATAGCAAAAGCATGGTAAACAAATTGTACAAGAAGCAGAAATGTTTGTAGTAAAATGCAGGAATGGAGGAGGACTCATTAGCAACCTGAAGTATACTGATAACGCAATTTTGTTTGTTGAAAGTACAAAAATCTTGAAGCACTTAAGGTGAAGATCAAAGCTTACAGCCTTCAGTGTGGATCATACCTTAACTTAAAACTAAAATGCTCACAACTAGATCAGTAAGTATCATCATGATAAATGGAGAAAAGATTAACATTGTCAAGGATTTAATTTCGCTAGTATCCATAAGCAACACCCATGGAAACAGAAGTCAGTCAGTTTATGGCACTGGATCAGTGTGCTGCTGAAGGCCTTGAGGGAGGATTAAAGTGTCCCAGATTGTTAGTCACCCTAATTTGAATCCACCAGCTGCTCCATGGGAAAAGGGTGGACAGTCTCTTCTCGTGCAGTTTACTGCCTCTGAAAACCTGCTGGAGGTGCAGCTCTCATGTGAAGGCAAACAAAAACAACATAAAAGCTGGATAATGATTTAAAAAAAACATAGAAAATTGATGCATTTTAGTTAAAATGTTGGCAGAGAATATGGATTCTATAGCATGGACTACCAGAAGAAGTAACAAAGTACAACCATAGTCCTTTGAATTGAGAATTTCAAGTCATTGTCACACATACTTGGGCCATGTTAGTAGGATGGACCAGTCACTGGACAAAGATACGCTTTCTCCGAGAAAAAAAGCACATTAGCAACACAAACTCCTCAGTGAGCTGGCTGTAATACTGAACTCCCAGCAGGTTGTTAGGGTGTTTCAGCACCAATAGTATTTCTTTCTGTTTTTGGATGTGCACAGGGATTTTATTTTTAGAAGGTCCCATTCCTCTATTTTGTCCTCTCCTGATGGTAGGTTTTTCAGGATGCTTGGAAGACTGTTTATGTTGTGGATTAGGGCTTCTACAGTTCTTCCGAGCTTTCCCCTAATGAAGTTTGTAGTCCTTGGTTTTAGTCCTAGGTCCTTGATCCACTTTGATTTGGTTTTTGTGTATGGAGTGAGGTGTGGATCTTGTTTGAGTTTTCTACAGATAGTTTTCCAATTTTGCCAACACCATTTGTTAAAAAGGCTGTCATTCCCCCACTTAACTGATTTCATCTCCTTGTCAAAAATCAGTTGACCATAGGTAGATGGGCTGATTTCTGGGATCTCAATTCTATTCCA